ACCCGAAGTGAGTGACAAACGGTTACTCACCAGTGACTCACGGCCTACCCGTACCCGTACCCGGCCGCACCAGGGTCGCAAACGGCTACCTGTACCCGGCCGGGTACGGGTAGCCGGGTAGGGTACGGGTATCGTGTACCTGGTTGCGACCTCTGATGAGGATGCAAAAATATTTTTGTAAGTGAGGCTGACGGGGCTGGCTAATTTGTCGCGTACTGGGGGGGAGGATTTTTTTTTGCTTTGCTCGTACTCCGAGAGCGGTTTGTGTTCCTCAGGCAGGCCGAGCACTTAGGGGCGTCGCGAGCCTAAGTGGCGAGACCACATCGTGAAATGAGAGCGGCCGTTCATTTGGTTGATTGCTTGCGGCGTACCCAGAGATATTTCGCGGAGTGAAAAAAAACCCCACAACAATCCCCATTACGAGTCGAAGGGTGCGCTAGATTAATTAAATGAATGTTTGAATGTTTTTGTATTTTGTACACCGTTTTTTAAATAGGTGTTTTAATTAAGAGTGTGTTTTCCACACACGCCCTTGTTTTATATTTTATCGTATCATTATCTCGGTTAACCGAGTGCCTTAAGTGAAATGTAACTCGGCCTTAGTGTTCTATTCTTTGTAATGACGTGCGATAAAGTAACAGCTACGTATTAACAAGAGCAGTGCACAAAGGGGCATGTTAGTGTAAGTAATGTGTTTATATATATGTACATGAGCAGAATCAGGCAAGCGGAATTGACTTTAATTAGGATTTATTAAAATCAGCTTAGAAATGTATTACATCAGAAATTTAATAAAAAAATATTAAAATCTACGTCTTGTTGTCTGCTAATTGAATTACGATTCTAATTATTTTTTCTGGGGTACGTTAAAGATACACTCTAGTTGTTAATTTTCAACCCTATGCTTTTGTTTATACTTTATTATTATATTTTAAGTTTGATTTAAAAAAAAATAAGCGTACCAAATTCACGTTGCACATGTCCATTTGTTTCATGTCAATTTCCTTACGGCAAACGGTTGACTGGCACATCATCTAATTTGATTTCTCAAACTTTTATTTTCGTATTCGTGGTTGTACAATTGCATTAAAGGGCATGCCTTTTCAGAAGTGTATTTTTAAGAAGAAGGCTTACAAAAAAAGCACGTTAGTCAATACCAGCAAAGCCACATTTGCTATTTTAATTCAACAAAAACATTTGCATGGAACGTGTCCCAGAGGACGTTCACCGTGGGAGATGGAACAACAAAATCAATTCGTGCGGCAGATGCTGGGCGGATCGTTACACCGCAGGGTCGTGAGAGGTGGCGGCAGCGGTTTGGGGACGCCTTAATCCAGCAGTGGATTGAACATGGTTGGTGGCGATTAAAAAGAGTCCCCAATAGTCGAAACTTTGAAGCTGGTGATCGGCCTTTCTTTGTGGACGCATTCTTATGGCCCGGCGTCAATTCACTGCTGGACGATGGGCCTCCACCCTAAGTGCTGGTGAGGAGGCTTGTTTGACCATACTTCATCATGCTGGTCAGTGTGAGCTCGTCAAGGGTCTAAGAGGTTAAATTTCGATTTGAAGCTTTCGTGACTGCAGGGATTCATCTTCTTGCTTCTTTTGGTAAAGTCACGTAGAAGGGAAATAATAAAATAATAAAAATTAAAACATAATAAAATAATTCTCACGACGTTTCGGCCACAACGCAAGCAAGCCGTCCTCAGGTGAAGACCAGGTCTGTCGGGGAGACAGCGTCAGACGTCAGAACGGTCTAAGAGGTTGTTCAGATATTACTCGCTACCGCTGGCTTTGAACGGGAAATCGAGCTCAGGTTTACGACGAGATTCCTAGCGTAGTCCCATCGGCCACTGCACTCTGCATGCATATGTGTGGGGTTTTACTTTGCAGAGATGTCATCATTAAACGATCAATGCCTTTTATCGTTCCACTCTGCACGGTCCCTTTGAAAGTGCTACCGCAGCAGAGTGGCTGGAAATGCGTCCGCATTGAAGGTTAGTACCTCTGCGATAGGGAGCGAGCGCGACCTTGAGATGCTTCAAGGTTTTGTGGGTCACGTGGCACCTCCGGTCTGCCAACGATAATGCACCGCACGGAAACACATCAAACGGATTCCAGTAATTTCAGGGGGATGCTTTAAGCCGGCTGCTGTTTCATCCGCTCCTTGTTGTATTTTGTTGTTGTTCAAATCACGTTTGCTGAGCGCAGGAGCAAAAAAGCCCCAAATTCCGAGTGGCCAGCAACAAACAGCACTATTGAAGGCATAACAGAGTCAACGGCGTCTCTTGAGTTGAGCGAGGTTGAAGCAACTTTGGTACGGACACGATTAGAGTGCAGTTCTAAGGCAAAGCAGTGAAGAATCGTAGAGAGAAGTGTTGTGACGGGCAGCGTGGCGAGCGAGTGCAATTTGTGGGTGTTTGAGTAAGTTGTGGTGAGCAGGAGTGCAGCATCTTCTTGGTTCTTTCGGTAAAGTCACGTAGAATGAAAATAATAAAATAATAAAATTAAACATAATAAAGTAATTCTCACGACGTTTCGGCCACAACGCAAGCAGCCGTCCTCAGGTGGAGAACAGGTCTGTCGAGAAGACAGTTATTCAGACTCATTCAGACGCTGTCTTCTCGACAGACCTGTTCTCCACCTGAGGACGGCTGCTTGCGTTGTGGCCGAAACGTCGTGAAAATTATTTTATTATGTTTTATTTTTATTATTTTATTATTTCCATTCTACGTGACATTACCGACAGAACCAAGAAGATGAAGCCCAGGCACCCAAGTTTGATTCCCGCTCACGGCCAACACCGGTGGCAATTATGTGGATCAGTTCTGTGCCTCCCCTAGGTCGACTCAGTTTCAAATGAGTACTTGGTGTATAAAAACATCGCTGGGCGTGGTGCTGGCCACACATTCCCTGGTGTGCCGTGCCGGCCTTCATAGGTGCTCGCAAACAACACTTGCCCCAAAAATCGTTTACAGGCTATACGGGGGATCTTTGTCTTTGAGTGAGTGTATGGGTAAGTAGGCGGGTGGGAGTGAGTGCGTTGTTGTGACCTGCAGTGTGTTGGCCGAGCACAAGGGTGGACGAGACGAAAGATGACGGGGTTATCTGGTGGACAGAGTTCTCCACATGGGTGGAGGAATTGGGGAGTGCAGTCCGTGGCAACTGTCGTTTTTCGTCCGTGAAAATTAAGCATTTCGGGCGATGTTATTGTTCAGATTTTTCCCGTGAAATTGCAAAAAACCGGGCAAGGCCGCCTTGCAAATGAGCAGCGCGGAGGCCAAGAGGGTTACTTATCGCCAACAAATCAAAGTGGCGTATGTAGGGAAGTAATTACACGCTGAAAAATTAGCTGTCCCTCCCCACCTCGCTTTCTCGGGGCATTAAAAGTCCCATTTTTTGTTATCAGTTGCGTAATAATAACAACGCACCACTCAAGGGCAATGCACGTGTACGGGGACGTTATCTCCTCTTCTGTTAGTGCGAGATATAATGTTGGCCACGATACGACCCAGTGACATTTTTTTTCTACCTCCCTATCTCCGAGGTGGTAACCCCTTAAGCCACATCGTACTTTTGACTAATGTGAGGACAATAAGGTCACGTGGAGCACAGAAGCGAGAGAGAGAGAGCGAGCGCGAGCGAGAGAGAGAGAGAAACCCCACCACATCTTAAGCCATTAAAATTGCAACGAGCGATAGTTTGTTAACTGTCATCCGCCTGACGTTAATTACCTCTAACCATTATTAAGTATCCAATCATTTCTACAAGGGATTATCTTGACTTTCACTTTTTTTTTTTAAAGATCCAAAGTTTGCTCGGCACAATAATTAAGTTTTGACCGTTTCCTAATTAACGACACGGCGTCGATACCACGTGTGCATCCGAGGTGGAATCGCTCGCGCGCAGGAAGCATTAACAATCCAGAATATAGAGGGTTTTTTTGGGGGTTAGATCGTGTATATATAAATGTGTCGTTAATCCCACCACCACCCGACACAGCCAATTAATAAGGTTTGTCACGTAAACAGAACGTGCCAATTCGTCACTAGTACAGCACTAACCGGTGTGTTGGAGAGCAAATCCACAACATTTACAATCTGAGTACGACGTTTCGCCAGTAATTACAGCTAGCATCATCGGCCGGACAGCCAGATTTGTGGAGAAAGCCTCCTGTTTCGTTCCTTAAATACGGTGATAGATGTGAAGACGTCGTTTGTGAGCCCTTCACGCGCAAAGAGGGGGGGGGGGTATTAATGCATATAAATTACAATGGATATCCATTGTAATTGGATATCCATTGTAATTTAGGAAGCACTAACATTGAATGTGAGTATTCTTAGGGTTTTTTTCGGTAAAGTCACTAGGTAAAAAATAAAAATTAATAAAAGTAAAATAAAAATAAAATAAAAATCACGACGTTTCGGAGGCAACACAAGCTTCCGTCTTCAGGTGGAACCGTCACAGCACGATCACTTGATACAGCGATCGTGCTGTGACGGTCCCACCTGAAGACGGAAGCTTGTGTTGCCTTCGAAACGTCGTGATTTTTATTTTTATTTTACTTTTATCAATTAAATTTTTTTTACCTACATGACTTACCGAAAAAACCTAAGAATATGAATCCTTGCAGTCACGAAAGCTTCAAATCTAGAATTGAATGTGAGCCCATTGAGTCACCGAACGGCTCAGGACTGGGGTACGCGTGTCCAACGCGCTGCCGAACATCTTTTTTTAGAAATGCAAATCGTGAAACGTGATAAAAAATGTAACAGCTCCAGCTTCCTCAGCCGTGCACTCCAACAGTCAAAAGCATTTTTAATTTGAGGAGTTAAAAAAAAAACCACACACACACAGCCTCGTGCCAAGCTGTCACGGTGGTCAAATATTATAGTGCGGAATTTAGAGCCGTGGTGGCTTTATTTATATATTTTGCGTGCGTAATTCCACGTGAAACAATTTGTCCTGTCGCCCCCCCCCCCCCCACCATTTGAATGCAGAATGCAGGAGATGGCGAGAATCTTGTTGTTGAGCGGAAGCCGTCGCGAAGACGATGACCCATCAGAGCCCAGCACGCTTGCCAAGGTTAGCGAGGGGGGTGGGGGGGGAATGCGAAAAGCATTCCCCAATAGAAGACGCGCGCTATAGCGAAGACACGTTTTGTTGAAGACGCGTTAAGCGAGGCCTCACTGCAGAGAGGACAGAGAGATAGGGCAGAGATACGGAGTGGCTCATGGCTGGAGACTGCCATGTACACCACGAGGTCTTGATGTTAATCTACTTTCGACGTGAACTATACATTTGCTCATCAACATTGACTAAGCCCGGAGGCTGTTTGCCCCCCCCCCCCCATCCTTTAAGTTAAACTGATTCCCTGTTGTTTAGTTATCTTTGCCCTTCAACACAGCTTGATATCAGCAGTGATAAGTCGAGACATTGGTGGTATTGTGCTCTGCTGTTTCACTTCTCTGTATAGACTTCAAAGGCCCTGTTAGTGCATAGCTAGTGCATAATTTTTTGTACGTAGCTAAACTATTGATATTTGCGTCACACATTTAGTTGGAGTAGCTAGTTACGTAAACAAAAGGGAGACGCGGAAAGTACAACGCAGCTATTATTGTAAACATATTCCGACCGCGTAGATTATCGCAGTTGCATTCCCAAAGCTCTCCCGAGTGTTTTTTTTCGGCTGTGCGGCATCTCACGCCGAACATCGCACAGCAAATCCAGATCACCCATCGTCATAATTTAATTTTGTCATCGGTGGACTCACTCCCGCCAGAGGAATGTGGAATTTCCACCACTGGCTCAGGGCTTTAAAGAGGAGATGGCCACTGCTTCAATGCTCATTTAAGATAAAAAATCACCGTGCCTCTAACCTTTTTATTTGATACAAAATTAATCACAACGATTCAAGTGTGATTATTCACGAAGCCGAACAAGCCAACGCGCTACAATATAATGCAATCAGACATTACCCGTCGTGTTCTTCCAGCCTTCTTTTGAAATCATGCTCTCTAGAAATCATCGGCTCGCTGGTGGTCAGTCACCACAATTATCGCTATGACCATGATCACTGTTCCCATGAACGCCGCTCGCTGATTCTTTCACGGTGGCTAGGAGATGTTAACTGCCTGGTGTACAGGAGGTCGTGGGTTTGATCCAGACCCTGACGCCTGATGTATATTTGGAGTTTGCGTGTCTCTCACTCATCATCATCATGGTGGCTAGGGGATGTTAATTGCCTCGCCTGGTATGCAGGAGGTCGTGGGTTCGATCCCGACCCTGACACCTGATGTATATTTGGAGTTTGCGTGTCTCTCTCTCTCTCTCTCTCTCCCAGTGGTCGCGTGGAATTTTCTCCGGGTCCTCCGGTTTTCCCCTCCACATTTTAGAATCAACATCACCACGCGTTCAGAGTTTTTGGTTGCTGCTGTACATTTCCTCACGATAAGCCACTTCGTTGGGGCTATCATTTTTGGCCGAGCTCGCTTTTGACAAAGAGCTATACAGCTCAGTGGGCCATGCCTGGTAAAATAAAATAAAAATTTAGCGTACATATTTGGACAAGGTGAAGGGAAAGAGTGGGGATTGCCCTGCCATGCATATTCCAATCCAGCGAAAAAATACAGACATGGAAGGGCTTGGAAACTAATAGCACGGTCAGCCAGGAGAGCAGTGTAATGTGCATTTGGTACAAATTGTATGTGTGTGTTATTAAGTCTACACCTTGTTCTAGAGTTTTACCGATCTCTGGCATTGTTGCACGAGGGACACACTCCACAAAGCTCAACGCATTTGTCAATGACACTGTCCTGAAAGAATAAAAAATATTATAATAAAATAGAATGAACAAAAATATAAAAAAATATAGAATAGCAAGTGAATATGGACCCTCTTCATCGCGGAGAAATACGGTAATTCCTCGTTTAACGCGGTAGATGCGTTTCTGAAACGCGCCGCGTTACGCAAAAAAAACACGTTAAGCGAAAAAATTTCCCCCACGATAAATAATGTAAAGGTTGAGAGTTGCAAGATACGGTGTAACACACGCACAGTAAGACGGTGGGACAAAGAACTCGGATGAAGGTACACCGTGTTCTGTATCATTCCACGTATACACCCAGAATTCCCATAACCGTTCAACCACGCAGCTCAAGAAATTAGTTCATTATCCACCGCTCAGAAACCGCATTGTAACGGTGCGCGTTCCACGTTGTGCGAAAAGTATTCCCCAATAGAAGACGCGCGCTATAGCGAAGACGCGTTTTGTTGCAGACGCGTTAAGCGAGGCCTCACTGCAGAGAGGACAGAGAGATAGGGCAGAGATACGGAGTGGCTCGTGGTTGGAGACTGCCCTGTACACCACGAGGTCTTGATGTTAATCTACTTTCGACATGAACTATACATTTGCTCATCAACATTGACTAAGCCCGGAGGCTGTTTGCCCCCCCCCCCCCTCCTTGAAGTTAAACTGATTCCCTGTTGTTTAGCTATCTTTGCCCTTCAACACATCTTGATATCAGCAGTGATAAGTCGAGACATTGGTGGTATTGTGCTCTGCAGTTTCACTTCTCTGTATAGACTTCAAAGGCCCTGTTAGTGCATAGCTAGTGCATACTTTTTTGTAGGTAGCTAAACTATTGATATTTGCGTCACACATTTAGTTGGAGTAGCTAGTTACGTAAACAAAAGTGAGACGCTGAAAGTACAACGCAGCTATTATTGTAAACATATTCCGACCGCGTAGATTATCGCAGTTGCATTACCAAAGCTCTCCCGTGTGTTTTTTTTTCGGCTGTGCGGCGTCTCACGCCGAACATCGCACAGCAAATCCAGATCACCCATCGTCATAATTTAATTTTTGTCATCGGTGGACTCACTCCCGCCAGAGGAATGTGGAATTTCCACCACTGGCTCAGGGCTTTAAAGAGGAGATGGCCACTGCCTCAATGCTCATTTGAGATCAAAAAAAAAATCACCGTGCCGCTATACTTTTTTATTTGATACAAAATGAAGCACAACGATGCAAGTGCGATTATTCACGAAGCCGAACAAGCCAACGCGCTACAATATAATGTAATCAGACATTACTCATCGTGTTCTTCCAGCCTTCTTTTAAAATCATGTTCTCTAGAAATAATCGGCTCGCTGGTGGCCAGTCACCACAATTATCGCTATGACCATGGACACTGTTCCCATGAACGCCGCTCGTTGATTCCTCCACGGTGGCGAGATGTTAACTGCCTGGTGTACAGGAGGTCATGGGTTCAATCCCGATCCTGACGCCTGCTGTATATTTGAAGTCTGCATGTTCTTCCCGTGGTCGCGTGGATTTTTCTCCGGGTCCTCCGGTTTTTCCGTCCACAGTTAGAATCAACGTCGCGCGTTTAGAGTATTTAACGTGATAAGCCACTTTGTTGAGCCATCATTTGTGGCCAGGTCACTTCTCTAAAAGAGAAATATAACTCAGTGGGGCTTACCTGATGAAATAAAAATAAAATTGTTGAGAACTTAGCTCTGCCAGAATGTGTCATCTCATCCATCACAGCGTGCTCAACCAAAGCACTCATCACAGGTTACAACTCTTCTCTCTCTGCTTACTCCCTCGCACTGTTACACTTTGGAATTCCTCCCATCATTCTTCCCCCCCCCCCCCCACCAAATTTGTATAACCCTGCTAAAATAAAACACGTATTAACCCTTGTCTATGATTACATCACTTCGCTGGTGCTGTTTGTCGCTGGCAGTTTGGCGTTTTGGGCCGTCGGGAACTGCACTCGGCAAACCGTAATAATTTAGATAAACCCTCCCCACTGGCTGTCAACTTAAGAGCAAAAGCACTGGCCCGGAGGGTGATTGAATCGTCGTTTTACGCGCCGCTTACCGCTCACACATCCGTTTGTGAGATAGCGCGGCCGTGATGTATTCGCGCAATTAGCGGAAGCACCGTGCCGTGAACGGGGCGACCCGAGCTTCATTCCCAATCGGGGCGAACGTCACTGGCGGTGCTGAAGCACTGGGCGCTGAAGTAGGCGTCAATAAGCCTCGTGACCGAGACAGATTTGTTTTGGGGGGGAGGAGGAGGAGAATGAGGACTGCATATCGTTACGAATCGATCATATGTGTTCTTCCGTTGTCCTCTTACTGGGACTTTTTGTGAGTCTTTTCAACAAACACATTTGCTACGCGGGGCCACCCTGGGCTCTTGATGAAGTGCCGCGGGTCTGCGTTAAGGGTTTTTTTGTATTCCTTTTTCCCACTCATTCGTAAGGGTGATGTATTAGCGCAGTTAGCGGAACCTCAGAACTACATCATATCCTCCTCGCTTGGGGAGTCACGGTGGCACTGATGAAAAATTTCCCCCCCTAAATGTGACAAATCGCCGCATCATGAATCAGCAGTCAAGCCTTGTTTATTGGAGAGAGGGGGGGGGGGAGTACGAGGGAGCGCAGACCGACCTGTCCAACCCATCCACTCCACAATCAATGATTCATAAACTCATTACCGTGCTATGCTCAGACACAAAATTGCTGTGCGAGGTTTTCTGGCAACCAGAAATGTGAGGACGGTTGTTTTTTTTTTCGTTCTCTCTCTCATTATTTGTTGCCTAGCTCGTTCTCTCTCTCTCTCTCGCGCGTGCGTGCGCGCGTTGCGTTCCCGCGCACGCGTGTGCCCTGCGTGTTACGCGGCGCGCATCCCCACCACGTGCGGACAATCCCCGCAGCCCTCTCTCTGTTCGTTGGAGCCGCTGTGAAACTGGGACGCGTAAAGTTTGCATCCGCATACGAGCGCAACTCTGTCCTTTTGGACAATGCGTGACGCTTAAACCATTTGCAGTAAGTCGCCGTGGGGGGGGGGGTATATCTTGTGGTGTACACATACGATCCATAATAGAGGTTTTTTTGGGTTAGATCGCGTAAATATATAAACGCGTCGTTAAAAACGTGGCCAATTCGTCACAGCCAACTAGTAAGGGTTGTCACGTAAACAGAGCGTGGCCAATTCGTCACTAGTGTAGCACCACCGGTGTGTCCTCTACTGCTCACGGCAGCGAGTACAACTTGGATGTTTGTCACCAACAC